GTTCGGTATCGGCGGCGAGCAGCAGATCGCCATCTGCTACGAGCTCGTCGTTGTCGTACAAGAGGTTGTCGATGATCCTAAAGCGGTGCGCGGCTCCCTCCTCGTCATCCGCGTCCAGCGTCTCCAGTGCACCTGTGGTAGGATACACGAACTGCTCTGGGACAGTACTCTTCTTCGGCAGTTCACCTTGCCATGGTACAGGCCCACCATGTACCTGCGGTGTTCGTGGTGACGACGCAGCCGATGACGTTGCTGCAGACCTTGACGAAGAGGATGACGCCGTCTGGGGCGCAGGGTGCATGTCACCAGGTGGCGGGGAGTGCGGTGCAGCCGTAGACGCACCTCCTGTTGAAGGCGATGATGGGGCGTGACCGTCCGGGAAGGCATCAGCCTGCTCCCCTGGCCCCAGTTCAGCCCAATCGTCCTCCACCACGAGCGTGTCCTGGCCAGCACTGTAGTCGATCCCCTCCGTGCCGCCGCTGTTGTTGGACGCGCTCCAGTCCCACGCGGTATCTTCTTCAAAGACAGCGTCGCGAGTGACGTGCACCCGGTTGACGACAGGGTCGAACACCCGATAAGCCTTCGATCCGGGCTCATACCCGATCATCACCATCTTCACACTCCGGTCATCGAGCTTCCCTGCGTTCGCTTGGTGACCTTCACGCGCGCCACGCAGCCAAAAACACGCAGAAGTGCACGCCGGCTTCTCGCCGTACCAAGCCTCATACGGTGTCGCCCCCACCAAGCTCCTCGTCGGGCACGATTCAACAGGAAGACGGCCGTCATTACAGCCTCCCCCCATAGCCACGCAGGAACCGCCTTGGCCTTCATCATGCTCCGCACCATGGCAAGCACGGTTTGATTCCGGCGCTCCACCACGCCGTTTTGCTGGGGACTGTACGGCGCGGTGAGGTGCCGCTGATCCCGCTTTCGAGCAAGATTTCGAGGAAACTCACCGACGTGAATTCCCCCCCACGATCGGTGCGGAACGCCTTGATCTTCCGCTCGGATTCCACCTCGACGCCGGCGCGCAACTTGCGGAATGCGTCCTCAGCATCGGACTTGTTGGCGAGGAGAACCGCCCACATGTACCGTGACATGTCGTCGACGACCAAAGATGATATATACCGCTTGCCGCCGGGTGTCGCAGGCGTGACGGGGCCGCAGAGATCCCCATGGATCAGCTCCAGCGGCTTGCCGGCGCGGTAGTTGGCGGCTTGCGGGAACGGCGCTCAACGTTGCTTCCCGGCCAGGCAAGCGTCGCAGATGTGCTCCACGTGCTCGATCTGCGGAAGGCCTCGCACCATGCCCTCGCGCCCCATCTTCTTCAGTGCCTGAAAGCCCAGATGCCCGAACCGGGCATGCCACTTCCACTCCTCGTCGTCATACATGGCGGCCAGGCACACCGGCGGCGTCAGCCTCAGTGGCAGGATGTACAAGCGGTTTGGCGTGTGCCTTACCTTGGCGAGCAGCTCACGAGTTGCTCGATCCCACATCCGAAGGGTCCCATCTTCAATCTCGATCTTGCATCCATATTCGTCAAGTTGGCCGATGCTCAGGATGCTGCTGCGGAGGCGGGGAATGTGGTAGACGTCGTGGAACGCACGGTGGCCGCAATCCTTGGACGCGAACAGTACCGTGCCGCGCCCTACGATCTCCACGAGCGAGCCATCCCCGAACCGCACAGAGCCGAGAACGTCGGGGTTCAGTTCGGAGAAGATGGACGCATCGCCGGTCATGTGGTTCGATGCGCCGGTATCAAGGTACCATTGCATCTCCCCACGCTCGCCGTCGCCGTCCAGGTCCGCCACGACCTTGTGCTCGTTGAGGAAGACGTGCTCGTTACGCCGCCCGCCGTGGATAACCGTCTCCGGCGGGGTCACCACGGCCATGTACAGAGCGGGCGCCTCCCGTTCCGCCTGAGCCAGATTTACCTGTGGCTGATTCGCAGCCGCCGCCGCAGCCGTCTTTTCCTCATCCCGCTTCTTCTTCCGGCACTCCCGCTTCCAGTGTCCGGTCTTGCCGCAGTAGTGGCAGAGGTTTTCATCCTCGCCACCGTTGCCGCCCTTGGACGGCCCTAAGCGTGCCTCCTTGCCACGCTCCTTGCCACGGCTGCTACTGCCGCGACGCTTGCCCGAGCCGAACGGCGCCTTGTCATGGGCCGCCGACCCGTCCGCGTTGATGTTGAGGCGCGATGCGAGGCGGGCGATCACTTGCTCCTCGGTGAAGTACAGCTTGCCGTCGATCTCCTTGCCGGCACCGCTGCCGCCCGATCCGCCTCCACCTCTCGCCTTTCGAGCGGTTCAGACGCTCCTCTGTCGCCTTGAGCCGCCCCACGAGCTCGTCCAGGGACACCGCCTCGAGATCGAGGAGCGTCTCGATCGCCACCGCAATCTGTTCAAAGCGATCGGGGAGAGCCTGAAGAAACTTACGCATGATCTCCTCCTCCTCGTACACCTCCCCAAGCACCGAGAGCTGATCGGTGATCTTGGTGATGCGGCACGCGAAGTCGTCGACAAATTCTCCTTCCTTGAAGGTGATCGTGTTGAACTCCCGGCGCAGCGTCTGCGCCTTGGCCTTCCGCACTCGATCGACGCCGATGTACCGCGTCTTGAGCGCGTCCCACGCCGCCTTGGCCGTGGGTTTGTTGGCCATCCCTCCTTGGAGCTCTGGAGAAACCGACTTGCACAGCGCCTCCAGTGCGTTGCGGTCGTCGGTGAACACCGTGGTGCCGACGTTGACGGTGTCCCAGAGGTGCCTCCCCTGGAGCATGACGCGCATCAATGCCGCCCAATCGGTGTAGTTCGTCCTCGTTAACATGGGCCATCCGGCGTTGCCCACCTCCCGGACCGTGCGGTGTATCACCAGCCCACGGTCGTACCCGCCGCTGCCTCCTGCGCGGCTGTCAGTTGGGGATGTCGAATGCCGGCGCCGCGGCGAGCTCGATCTCCCGCGCGGCATGAACGCAGCTTCAATGGCTCGATGATGATCCCAGCGACAGAAACGGGCTCTGATGCCAGTTGTTGAAAACGGCTTAGGATCTATAGTCGCTGAAACGCCCGGTCTCTCCCTCACGAACTTGATGAACGCGATGAACAAACGATTAATTCGCGGTGAACTCGGTGGACGGGATTTTGGCGCAGCGCACGAACTGCTGCTTTTCTGGTTTTCTTCTCCTTTTATTGACTTGAATTACATGCTAAACTTAGCTCCCGTCGCTACCGCCCACGCCCCGCGTTTCTTGCTGCGCCATCCCACAGCCTTGCGACGTGGGCGACATTGCCGGGCCAAGCCTCGCCACCAGACGCACTCACACGCGCACGACGCGAAACAAGCGCCGCGCTCACCACCACTCAGCTGTACAAGCTAAAGATAGACACACACACACATACGCAACAGAAGGAAATTCAACAATTGTTAAGTTAGTGAAGGTGGGGACAGCACAAAGTGTGACTTCACTAATAGTAGAGATTGGATTTTATTCTTCCATGTAATTGGAATATGAAGCAGTAAACATTTAAACCAAAATTAAGTTGCACCTTAGAAGCCTGATTCAGTTTTTGAGAAAACTATATGTAACTGTGACAGGTAAATTACCAAGCACGCGGATGGGTAACGCATCATGTGTCAGATATATGGGCTAAGTCTTCAGCGTTTATTAAGAATCCTAAGCATGCTGTGTGGCCAATGGGAGGTGCTTGGCTTTGCACACATCTATGGGAGCATTATCAGTTTTCTCTTGACAAAGTAAGAAACCAGTACGTATGTATACAGTCCACTGTTGTCCTTTCATTGGATTTGGCAAGTAACCCTTCTTAATAGAAATACATATTAACACATGTACCCATGATCTAGTCATCAAGAAAAAGTGAAAAACACGCCTGAATAAATTGTTTCCACAAATTTCAATAAAAAACAAATACATGTCAAGCAAGATTTGTAGAAAACTTATTTGATATATAGTTCATAGCTTTCAAAAAACTTAGGACTTCTTGGAGTATACTGCATATCCATTGCTGGAAGGCTGTGCTACTTTTCTGGTTGACTGGCTGATTGAAGGACCTGGAGGCTACCTACAAACCAATCCCTCAACATCTCCGGAGCATGCTTTCACAGCTCCTGACGGTAAGCCAGCGAGCGTGAGCTATTCAACAACAATGGACATCTCAATTATAAGGGAAGTTTTTTCAGCTGTGCTTCTGTCTGCAGAGGTAATATAATTAATTGTGCGACAGTTACATCTGGTTACATATAACTATTTCTAAGTTGAATGGCATAACTGTGATATTTTTTAGAACATGCATTGCACACATTTCATTAAGAGAGGTATGTTTGTGATATATATTGGATTATAAAATGATGATATGCTTTTCCATACTACAGATCTTGGAGAAGTCTGATACTGATTTGGTTGAGAAGATTAAGAAAGCTCTCCCAAGGCTCCCTCCCATTCAGATTGCAAGAGACAATACTATCATGGAATGGGTATGTCAATCCACTGAATAACAAGTTTGTATTTTGGAATTCTATATATTTTCCGTGAACTCTCCAATGATTTCCTGAATATGTCTGTCTATGCAGGCACTAGATTTCCAGGACCCAGAAGTCCATCATAGGCACTTGTCGCATCTATTTGGACTTTACCCTGGACATACTATAACCTTGGAGAATAATCCTGATGTTTGTGGAGCTGTTTCTAATAGCCTTTATAAAAGAGGTTTGCACAACTTCACAAAACTGCATGCATTTTACATCCCAGGAATATCTTTGTACCATTGTATTCAGTATGTAACCATGCATTGAGGGGAGCAATGGTGCTTGACTGCTTGGCAGCGCTATGGTTTGTTGGCAGATGCAGCAGAGCAATCAACCAAGCCTTAAGCCCTTAACCTTGACGCACTATGTAATTTATTTACAACAAGCAACGTTACAAAACTGCATCCCTATTACAATTCTTTAATTGTATATAATACAATTGGCTGAAAATGAAGAATCATCCATTTGCTTTTTAGGCGAAGATGGCCCAGGATGGTCAACAACATGGAAGATGGCCCTCTGGGCACGTCTTATGAACAGCGAGAATGCATACAGAATGGTCCTGAAGTTGATCACTTTGGTTCCCCTGGTGAAAAGGTCCAATTTGAAGGAGGACTGTACAACAATCTATGGACAGCGCATCCACCATTCCAGATTGACGCAAACTTTGGGTAACAGAACAGACACATCTCCAGCCTCTCTGAATTTTTAGATGACCGACAGAGTTTACATATATGAACATGTTCTCTACTGCAGGTTCACAGCTGCCATTGCCGAGATGCTGGTTCAGAGCACACAGAATGATCTCTACCTGCTCCCTGCCCTGCCGCGCGATAAGTGGCCCAGAGGCTGTGCCAAAGGGCTGAGGGCTCGAGGAGATGTGACTGTAAACATATGCTGGGACGAAGGGGAGCTTCAAGAAGCAATGTTATGGTCCAAAAATCGGAACTCAGTTACAAGGCTGCACTACGGTGAACGCGTTACCTCTGTTAGAGTTCGCTGCGGTACTGTGTACAGGTTCAACAGGGGATTGCAGTGCTTGGAGGCGTGGCCCCTCGGCAAATAACTTTCACAATTTACATGCATACAGTCCAAGTCCAAATATCAGAGTTGATGATAGTTAATACATGTTTGTGCTTTCCCTGTCTCATCAAAGAGAAGAGAGTGACCCTTCTTCCTCATGGCCAACATAACTGAAAGGCAAATTTATTATATTTACAAATCTTCTCCTTGTCATTTTGTTGAAGACCTTCTCACTTGAACACCAGTCCAGCCTCCAGCGCCTCCAAAACACAACATTCCAAAAAAAAAAAAACAGGAATGTTTCAGCACCGTGCTGCACTGAATGTACCAAAAGTGAAAGACAATGCACCAAACTCCTCCCAGGCAATCTGCTTATTAGCATCATGTCGGCCACAAGTACCAGATTCACCCAGCAGCTTCATATCTTGGAGGCTCAGCTGCATCTCTTTGCAACATTGCTTCAACTTTCTGATCTCACCCATCCTCTCTTTATCCTTGCAATATAATACTTCATCTGCAGCGTCGAACCATGCCCCTAAAATAACCCAATTACTTCCTGTCCCTGAAACAAGTTGTCAGGTTTCTGCATCATGCAAAATTCAAAACTGAACAAAGCAAAGCAAGTGTGGTACAGCATTACGAAACCAAGATCACCCAGTCAAAAAGCATTGTTTTGGAAACAGACGGACGTAGTGAACGTGGAGGAGTACCGGCAAAAATAACACTACTCACATCTTCTCTCGTACAACTATTACACAGACAAACAATAACTGTAAACGACGCCTAAACTTGTAGACCAGAATTGAAAAAGGAACTTAAAGCGAGGACATAAAGTGATGTGCAAGACCATCAGAAGATCGAAGGAGTCCAAAGATGCAACTAGTCCACTGACGGATCGATTGTAAGAGGCCCAAGCAACTTATTGTAGCAAAAGTTCAGTCGCAAAAGTACACCTGATACAGCTGAAATTCACACAAATTTGCACAAGGAGACTCGTCGTCGGCACAAAAGCTCTGCGAACATGGCCTAACAAAATTTACTACAAGGCCTCGTATATGGTGGCTGACCGATCCACATCGGCCCACCATGGCCCAACCACCACCACCACCTCCTTCTTTCTCCTCATCCTCCCCCACCTCCCGCTTCCGGCCGTAGCATCCTTCCTCCTCACTCCCTGCTGCCGCCTTCCTGTCCGGCTCCAGCGGCGCTGGAGCCGCCACTCGCCCGGCCCCCCCCCACTAACCTAGCCAACCACGGTGCCCCGCTCGATGGCCCTGCTGCTGCGCGCCTACCGCCTGGCTGTCCCGCCCTCTAGCGACCACCTCCACCGTTGGTCCGGCAGCCTCTCCGACCACCCCTCTAGGTCTCGCAACAAAAGAACCCTCCCCAAACCCTGGAACCCCAAAACCCTAACCCTAACTTGTCACCTGTGTGCCCATCACCCGCCTCCGCCTGTCATCGTCTGCTGCCATGCAAGCTCGGTGTCGATTCCGCTTACTCCATCCACGCCATGCTCGCACCGCCGACGCAGATGCGTCATACCGACGGAGGAGGAACAAGAATCGGCATGAATCTTAAGGTCGACCGAGCATACGATTCCGCCGGTTTTTGCACTACTATCAACCCCAAAAAAACCAACTTTGCCTTACGTAAGGTTGTCGAGTAACGATTAACCTCTGGATTTTAAATCTCTTATATATCTGGTATTGGTCATAATTTACAAGAACATTATGTAGTATTAGTAAGAGCATGAAGGGTTAAGGATTTACCTGGTGTGATATATTGCATTACTCGAGGAACCCTAGATGTTGTCGTAGTAAAGAATCATTTGGTGACTATGTTAATCTCAGCGCAAGATCATGGCACAAGTTGACCCGAACATACCACAAGGTCAGAAATCGTTTTGGTTGCACCCGATGGTCCTCCCAGGTGTCGTGGGACAAGTACATTTTACCTCTCGCTAGTAGTCAAATTGTAGTATCAACTCTTTGCTTTAATTGATCTTTTTGTATTAATAATTTTGCCAAACTTTACTTTTTCTCTCTTTCTTTAGTTTTGTTTCACTCTTATAAGAAACTTTTTTTGGAAAGTAAGAAAGAGTCGTTCTATTCTGCTATGTTTTGTTCCAGTATAATAGAATAGAAAGGGCGACTATAGTAATTCATAATTTCTATTCTACTAGAAATTATGAGTAAAAAGAAAGTTCTATACATAAGAAAATTAGAACATAAGAAATTAGACTTTCTTACACGAAGCTATTCACAACGTATCACATATTTTCCATTTATACTATTTTCTTATTTTTAGAAAAAAAATTATGATCTTTTTTTTGAAGGATCTCGATTGAAGCATCTTACACTATTTTTAAGCATGAAAGATTTGTAGGTTTGTTTCCTTTTACTTTTTTTTTTCTTTTACTATAGTCTATTCTCGTATTATTTTTCACCTCCTTGGAATCTTTCGATGAAGAATTATCTTTGATTTTTTATTTTGACTTATTGAAATTAAGTTGATGCTGTGAAAAAAGAAGTTGAATTAGACTACATATATCTCTTCAGCACAACATAGGTCATCGAAAAGATCTCATACGTCTCACATTAGAAAATGGATTCCTATTTGAAGAGTTCCTAACTGCATGGATGAGCTCACATTAACCCATCAATTTTTGCATCCAATATCGATTCGTACAGAGGAAAAAGTTCTCTATTAATTCAAACGTTGTACCTAGAGGACAGGGACAAAGGAATATAGGATTCAGATTTACAACAACTGCTTTTTGCATGGGCCCAGTAGGCCCGTAGCTGCGAAGGCCCAGCCTACAAGGAAGACAGAGCGACGACGTGCTGACTCTTCCCGTCCTGTCCTGTCGCAGAACCGACCAATTTATAAGAACACAAGTACAATGGTGGCCCGCAAGCGGTCGCACTGTCATACTTGAGCCCATATAAACCCGGTAGTCTGTCGAGTACCACGACGGGTCTCGATAAACGATCCACAAACAACCAAGATCGTACATGATTCAACATACATGTCACATATTACATAAAATTCACAGATACATTTCCATCATCAGAGTATGAAATAAGTTATTACAAACCAAGTTTGATAGATAATAGCGGAAGCAAATTAAGTCCAAAAATAGCATTTGCTAGCATAGTTTAATACAGTGCCAACATATGATCACAGTCCACAAAAGCATAAAGAGGGATTAATAAAGAAGCCTGCCCAGGGCTTACTCCTCATTCACAACGGGATAGAAGCAACTCTTGCAATAACCATAATACGCGGTGCCATCTGTAACAATGGAAAATAAAACCCTGAGTACGAGAAGGTACTCAGCTAGACTTACCCGTCATAAACCAGAAATAAATTGACTCCAAGGATTATGCAAGGTTGTATAAGTGGAGGTAGCTTGACAACATTTTGTATAAAAATCGATTAACTCAGTTATACAATTATAATTCTGTTATCAATTAATTATGACTATCCATCTCTAAATTAGCAACTATCCTGTGCCAAACATGTGTTATATTTTTTTAAAAGCATACAATAGTAACCATAAGAGGTATAGTAATTTCATGTTTATTTAAACCATCATATTCCATAGTACAATTACTACGATGTTGGGACTAGCCAAGTTTCTCACTATCCGGAAGAGATGGCGATTCAAATCGATTTCAACCAGCTGGGAATTTATTCATAACACAAACCCAGGCATGCCGCGCGAAGGCAGCCTTATGTCACATTTGGTACAACTCAGGTACACATTTCACGGGTTCGTACAACGCTGCACAATCGGGGACTGACGGTAGCCAGGTCGCTCAAGCCATGCCTGCCCACGGTCTAGGACCAGGTCGCTCAGGTCATGCTTGTCCACGGTCTATTGATCCGCTCCCCACAGAGGGCACACAACAGAACGGCAGCTATGATCTTATATCTCTTCTTAATTACTAATTCAAACACTTCAACAATTCAGTTACTACACTACAAAATAATAGCTACTTATTTCTCTCATAACTGGAGTTCTACTTATCCAAATGCTATGATCCTAGACTTTCTGGAAATATTATTAAATTGTCTACAACTCTTATTAAATCACCAAAAGCTAATTCATAATTTATCTTAACCAAAACAGACAATCAATCCAGTGCTGTCCAGAAATTCCAGAGAGCAAGCAATTCGGAAAAACTAACTTTAAACAGCTATAGCTCCTAAACCCTTTGGCCTATGGTCCTAAAATTTTAACACAAGATATATAAAGAAGTTACCTACAACTTTGTTATTAACCATTTTTACAGCAAACACCATTTTTACCATGCAACCTATCCAACTACCGAATCTGTCCGAAAACCCTTCCAACTCGTATTATAAATCAACAACACTTCTACTTCATGTAAGCAATTCAAATTTTTACAACACCAAGTCTACCAATAGTTCAAGCATACCAAATACACTCAAGAAAACATAATGGTAAAGCACAAACTATTTATTTAAATGTCTTTATTATTTTATTTAGACACTTAAGTTAAATAATAAACATATACCAAATGTTCATCATAAATTCTCAGAAATTTACAGTGGCTTACTAGTACTACCAATAGACTTCTGTAAAAGTTTTATGCCATTTTACCAAGTAAAACATCCTAAGCAAAAATGACAAGGCATAAAGGCTTAAAACAACATAAATAGGAAACCCTAGTGAAAAGTGTCAAGAAACAGATTTATATTTTTCTAAGCATCCATAAGGTACTAGGATATCCCCCAACAAATTTCATGAGCATTGGATTCATACATAATTTATAAAAATTCCCACAAGGATCTCCTAATTATAAAAGGAAAATCTTTAACTCAAAAACTGTATATTCACTGACTCTAAAATTTTTATCAAACCTTCTACTCATCAAGAAGAGCTCACAATCTAATTTTCATAATTTTTGGAGCACAGGAACTCTAGATATAAATTAAACAAGTTTGCCTACATTTAAAAACACATTTCAAGTTTCAATTTAATTCTTCCAAAAATTCTACTACAAGTGCTAATAT